GAGAACTATACTCTGATAGTTCTGAGACGAATGTTTTTGCATGAGTTTTAGAGTGAAATAACCTGTACTTTTGACACAGATTAACAAAGCTTTTTGAAGTTTGTTCCACAACTGTGCCATTCCAATTATTTCCATCTATATGCTGACATAATTATCGATCTCATGAATAGAATTGAAGAAATTCTGCTGAATTTGTATGTTTAAATTTTCAGGTCTACTTATATAATTATAATTCAGTGATAAATTCTAGGCCGTTTCAAACTACTCTATTTTCTAGTTCTTTTTAGTTCGGTTCTCTATACCTCTTCATTTTTTCAAACTACTCTTTATTTTCTACTCACTTCTTTTTAGTATGGCTATCTATAAAAAGGTGTTTCGCATTAGTTTTCCAAACTAATATTTAATACAATAGCTGATACCCGGCAAACGTTGTTCTGCTATATACAATTATTTCCAGAAAATATTTTTTTAGTTAAATATTTATCAACATACTTATATTCATTTGTTTTCTAATTCTTCTCCGACCCCGAAAACACCCAGATACAAATTTTGAATAGAATCGGATCATAACAACAAAACTCAGTTGCCATCCTCCATCTTCAATTTCCTTATTTTGATGAACAATCATAATCTCCCATCCCAAAATCTCCCATATACAAATTTGGAATGGTATCGGATTAAGTTACAAAACTCGTCAGCCATATTGAATCTGCCATCTTGGATTTCCAAATTTTGATAAAAGGATCATTATTTTCGACTCCGAAAACCCCCCGATACCAATTTTACATATAATCTGATCATAATAATTAAAAAACTCTTCCACCATATTGGATCCACCATTTTGAATTTCCCCATTTTGACAAATGATTCATCATTATCTACGACCTCTAAAACCTCCAGATACCAATTTTGATTAGAATCTGACCATAATTACAAAACTCGTCCGCCATATTGGATCCGCCATTTCGAATTTCCTAATTTTGATAAAAAATCATAATCCCTGACCTCGAAAACCACCAGATACCAATTTCGAATGATATCTGACCAATCTAATCTGTTCAGCACCAAAACATACGCTGATGCTCTTAGATTCCATCCAGAGAAGAGCCATTCGCCTGGTGGGTGACGCCACACTCACTCACTCTTTGACATCATTGGAACACCGTAGAAAGGTCGGCGACCTTTCACTTTTCTATCGATACTTCCACGGGAAATGGCTATCATCCCTCCACTAGCAATACCAGACGAAGTAGACAAGCCCAGTCAGCACATCCTTTCGTTGTCAACCTCGAAAGATGTCGAACAGCACTTTATCAAAACTCCTTCATCCATAGAACGGCTAGGCTCTGGAATTCAGTGCCCGAGGAAGTATTCCCAACAACATATAATCTCCAGAAGTTCAAAAAAAAACTCCAATACCTACCTCCTGTCCCTATCCTCCCTAGGAACGCACGATGTTCTTTGAACATTATAGGGATTTCTTTTCGTGTCCTCCAAGCGATAAAAAAAATAATTACAAAACTCGTCCGCCATATTGGATCCACCATTTTGAATTTCCTTATTTCGATGAAGAAATCATAATCTCCGACCCCGAAAACCCCCAGATACCAATTTTGAATGTAATCTGACCATAATTACAAAACTCGTCCACCATATTGAATCCGCCATCTTGAATTTCCAAAATTTGACGAAATATTCATAATCTCCGACCCCGAAAACCCCCGAAAATTGGTAATTTTGAATGAAATCGGATCCGCCATTTTGTATTTTCTATTTAAAAAATAGATTACGACCGATTCTCATACCTACCGAATACGCACGAAAAATTTCATACGAATCGGTCGAGCCGTTTCGGAGGAGTTCGACCACTATGACCGTGACCGTGACAGGAGAATTTTATATATTAGATTTGTTCGTCTTACAAACACTCGGAGAACCTCCCCTTGAAATATGCCCAGATAATTGAATAATACCCTCTGTATTATCACGTCGCCTAGATTTCATAATTTGTCCGAGTAATATGTATAACATTGGCAACGGTGTAAACGGGTTTGAATTCATCATCTCTCCTAAGCGCCATCTGCTTGCAATACAATGCACCATTCCTCTCTGCCGCAGTCTGTCATTTCGAACACTGCCATCTATCAGGTAGTGCCTGAACTACCACATCCTAGTTTCCTGCATTATATTCTTTCAAGAAATGGAGTTTACCGAGATCAGCTGGGATGAATGGATATTTTGTTGACAGAATAATCGTTTTTGTTGCTTCCTGTCCGAATGGAAACATTTCAAGAGCTGATATTTCAGTGACACCTCGCCGAATTTCCAACAATTGTACTGAGATCGAAAATATTTCAATTTGAGACAAAAAAATTTCAATGTTTACGTTTTTCAAAAATCTGTATCTTCTATAAATAAATGAGTTTCGACTCCGTATGATAACCAGGCCCTAGTCCCAACCTTTTTCTTTACTATGATTTAATCAGTTTTTCGATTGAATCATTCATGAGCCCAAATAGCAACAACTAGTGCAGGCCTGCATGTCGATTTGGTTGAAACTCTCCTCTTAAAACTCCGCACGCCAATATCTCGAAAACGAATAGGAATATTTGATTTCTGTAAAAAGTAGTCAATGGAGGGGGTCAAGTAGATTTTTTTCAAAGTATAAAAAATTCAACGCCTACTAGGAGCTGAGCGTCGTGATTCGTCGAGAATATAAATCGATTGCAGTGACTTTGAAATTACACGCACGCAAAAGTACATGTTATTTATAAACTTTTTGTTATTTACTCGAACTAATTCATCGTACTCATTTCTGAGTTATCCCAGTTTATAGTAAATATTTCTTGATTGACAAAAAATGCGATTTTGGATGATTTCTACAAGAATGCCCATGAATATTAGTTACTATGGCAATCATTGTTATCGCAATTGTTTTTAGTGCAATTACAAGCGACAGATGTGGTCAGTATCACATTTTGTAATAAGAAATATTCTGATTTGCTCGATTCAAACAAAACTAACAATGATTATATAAAAATGGTTCAATTTAGCAATGAGGAAAAAGTGGACATGTTACTGGTGTTTGGAGAATGCAGGTCAAATTGCGTGAAGCAAAAAGAGTTTACTCATTTCAGGTTCATCTAATAAACAATACATACAAACAATAAACTACTTACATCATAAAGTAAATTAAAAATTCTGTTCAAAATTATGTCCATCTGCTCGAATACAACTATCAAAAACTTTGAGCAGATGAGCTTGGGTCACTTGTAGGAGCGTCCTTCTTGTTATAGCGGCACACGCTGCACTAATTTTGTTAATATGATCAGCCATATCTTCGATTGGTTCTTCATAGCCATCGTCCTTCAGATGATCCCGAAGAAAATAATCTGGTGGTGTCATGTCCGGCGACCTCCCTGGCCACCTTATCGGTCCATTAGTACGAAACCATCTATTGGGGTATTCTCTGTTCGAATACCTCGTATAAATTTCGGCATTATGTGCAGGCGCTCCATCCTGCTGTAGCCACATATTCATTTTAGTATCAATGGGCACTCCTTCTAATAGTTCCGGAAGTGTAGATTGAAGAAACCTTGAATAGCGATCTGCATTTTTAAAGTGCCTTCGTAAAAGTGAGGTCCAATAAGGAATCCATTTATTCGCTGATTACCTCTTTGTGTAATCCAACGAGGATGGTTTTCGGACCAAAAACGACAGTTGTGTCTATTCACGATTCCATTATTATGGAATCGACTTTCGTCGCTCCATATATAGAATTATCAAAAGAACATTGGCAATTTGGCTATACAAATCGGAAAATCTTGCTAAGAAATCCATTCTTCTAGCGAGATCTTCTGGTTCTAATTTATGTACTAGTTTAGTTTTGTAAGGATGAAAAGAGTTTCTGTTTAGAATTCTCCAGGATATCTTAGGGTTATTATCAACCTGCTGAATTACAGCAGCAGTATTTTCATCATTTGTAGTCGTCTTTTCTCTATTTCTTTTAGGTTTGACGAAGCTGCCATATTCTCTTAAGTTTTTACATAAACTTGGAAAGGTTTTTGCATCGGGGACTCTTCTATGCGGATAACTCTGTTAGTTTTGTTTGAATCGTTCGAAATCAGAATATTTCTTATTACAAAATGTGACAATATCTCTGACACAGTACTGACAACATCAGTCGCTTGTAATTGCACCAAAAACAATTGCGATAACAATGATTGCCATAGTAACTAATATTCATGGTATTCTTGTAAAAATCATCCAAAATCGCATTTTTTGTCTATCAAGAAATATTTACTATATAAACTAGTATAACTCAGAAATGAGTACGATGAATTAGTTCGGGTAAATAACAAAAAAGTTTATAAATAACATGTACTTTTGCGTGCGTGTAATTTCAAAGTCACTGCAATCGATTTATATTCTCGACGCATCACGACGCTCAAGTCCTAGTAGTCGTTGAATTTTTTATACTTCAAAAAAAATCTACTTGACCCCCTCCATTGACTACTTTTTACAGAAATCAAATATTCCTATTCGTTTTCGAGATATTGGTGTGCGGAGTTTTAAGTGAAAAACCCTGTATATGTTGGGTCTCTCAGATGATGCACATGACTTTTTCAAATGCGAAGATAATTTGGTACTTCGTCGTTTTCATCGACGCTGTTATTGTTCTTGTCGCAGCTTCAACATGTTCATGGCCTAACTCAGGGTTAGTTTCATATAGTACTGATACTGCTACAGTTTTGAAGGTCCAAGTATGGTAAGTGTGCGCCTAAATCTCTGATAATTGCAAAGGTAGGTACTCATCATTTGATGGTTATGTCTCTTCCCGAGCATCGTAACGGCATGGTATTAGATTTTTTTTTATTTACAATTCACATGGCACTTATCGTAAACATAATTCTGCTCAGATTTCCATTACACGCCTGGTCAGTTTTTTTTATTCAGAATGAGTATATTTCGATAATCTGTGACGCATCTCCGACGTCAGTCTAAGGAGTTTTGTTTGTCCCGCTGACCCTTTGACTCCGCTTCGATACCACATCATCGTCAGGGTCATTTGAGAACCGTATCACACCACGTTCTAAATTTAGTTCCTGAACACCAATATCCATGCATCAATTGCCTTGAGCCTTCTAGATTTGGTGAAAATAATCAGATCGCAGTCGGCTTGATCATTTCTCTCCTCTTACCTCCTGCTGGACACCATCAAGCATTAAAATAATGAAGAACTCTGAAGAACGAAGTCATCTAGACAGACAACAGTGCCACAGATCACCCAACACACGGAAAAAAAAATTGGTGGATCAAGCGAAATTAAATTGAATGAAGCAAATAAAAGTGTCATATATGCACGACATATTCAATCAAATGTTTAGTTGATTCAATGAAATACTTGGTTGATTCAAAGAAATATTTGGTTGATTCAATGAATTATTTGGTTGATTCAATGAAATATTGGTTAATTCAATGAAATATTTTGTTGATTAAATGAAATATTTTGTTGATTCAATGAAAAATTCCGTTGATTCAAGAGAAACTGTATTTCCATCCGACAAATTGTTTTGTTGAACCAAAGCAGTATTAATTCGGGAGTTTTCTGAAATTTTACATCAATAGAATGAATTAAACTAGGAAACTAGTCGACTTCTAGCATAGATCTTCAGTCTTTACTTCTCTTCGGCTGATGCAAAACTATTTCGGATTGCTAATCATCCTAAGTTCGATTTATTCAGCTGATATTTCAAACACGAAGAATCAGGCTTCACGTATATAATAAACTCGAGGCAGGCACACGGCAGGCATAGAATAAGAGGCGAAATGATCGCCATCTTGAGGCGAAAATTCAACTGGATGTAGAATGAACAAAATATTTCGTTGCTCTATATTCGATGAAATGATCCGTTCGAAACGATTCCATTGCTACATCGGAATAAGAAAACTTGTATTTTGTTTCAAAGATATAATATTCTAACCAAAATGATCATTATTTCATCAAATCAACAAAATGTTTATAGTTGAATCAACATCCACATTGTTTTGGATCGACATAATTTATTTTTGAGAAAACCATATATTTAGTTGATGGAGTTGATATTATACTGTTGATTCCATTAGACTACATTCTTGATCTGAACAAACTGCTTCCATGGAATAATCATGTATCTGGTTTATTCAACAAAAAACTGCTCAGTCCAACAAAAATAATTCGAGCATAAATAATTTGTTGATGCAAAAAATCCTTTTTTCCGTGCACCTTTTATATTTATAGTACCTCTTCATCGTCAAATTGGTGCAAAACACTTTCAACATAATTATGAATTTTGGGAAGTAATCTCTCATTCTTTATAACCTCCAACTCTTCATCACCACTTGTTGAAAATGATACACAGAAAAAAAATCTGTTTGAAACTACAAAATTTTTGTAAATTCAACAAAATCTGAGTGTCATATATCCACGACAAGATATTTTGTCACCGCAACAAATGTTTTTTGTCAGTTTTCAATTCGAATTTCATTTGATGTAACTCATTAATGATTCAAATTAACAGCTGGAATTGGTTGAATAAACAAAGACTATTTTGTTCCTATAATACAATATCTGCTCTAATGAACGATTCTGTTGATTGAAATGATTATATCATTTCATTCAAGTGACAAAATTTTCAGTTTTTCAGAGTGAATATGTTGAAATAACAAAATATATTCTTCGATCAACAAAATTGTATTTAGAATTGACAAAATATTTGAAAATATCCAATAACTGAATTTCATAACTAATAGGAATTAGAGATCAATTTCCTCAGTTGATTCAAGACTATTAGCTTGTATAAGCGCCATAAGAAATTCTAGGACAGCCTAATGAAATTATATAAACGGATGTTTTAGGTAGGTATATGTACAACCCAATCGAGGCGAGCGTAGGAAGGTTGGAAGAAACGCCACCTGGTGGCATAAATGCAACTAGATAATCATTCAACAAAATTTTTGTTTGATATAATGTTCTTGTGGGTTCTGTTCAACAAACTAATTTGTTTTGAATAACAACATATTTCTTGATAGTGTTGTGTTGAATGAACAAAATATAATGTTGTCATAATCTTTGATTGGTTGCACAATGAAATGATTGTTGACTAAACAAAATATGATGTTGTATTTAGTTAAATATTTGTCAAAATTAATTTGATTTTGTCGAATAGACAAAATGCATATGATTGATTGAACAATGAGATAATAGTTGGATCAACAAAATTTGTTTTATGTCAACTGTAAATGTTGTTGAATGAAATGAAACTATATTGTTTGTATTTTGTCTCTTTGAATAGGTTGCTTATTTGGAATGAACATATATTTTGTTGATTCCGCAAAATTGTGTTCAATTTAACAAAAAAAAAGTGACCAAAATTATTTTGTTGGTGCAACAAAACTTTTTTTTCCGTGTAAACACAATATAGGGAATATATGGTGTAAGAACACTCATTTCTAATGAATACTTTTTATATGCTTAGTGAAAGTGAAATAGTCAGGCAAAATACTCCTTTGTTCTGAAAATCTTCTCATTAATTCTGTATCTCATTGTTAACTCAATTGTGTTGCCTTACAGCATCAATACTACTCGTCCTGACAGTGTTATTACGTGAACAATGAAGCGACAGCATCATATCGAATATTCAGAACATCGTGATATCAATTATAACTATTTCACTCATCACATATTCTGACCAATCACGAGCCAGAGACAACGTGTGCTTATCGCGAGAACATTAGCTGTCTTTCAATTCTGATTGGTCTATATCAGCGTTGATGTTTTCAACGATGTAACCATGGATAGCGAAGCAAAGTCTGTCAGTTTGGCAGAAAATAATTATGGTTGTACTTGTATGATACATGCTTTTTATGCTTCGTGAACGTGAAATTGTCTCATAATTCTGTTTTTCATCATTAACTCAATTCTTTTATGCCCTGCAGCAATACCAATACTACTCGTCCTGACGGGCTCGTGGTGTTGCTCGGCAACACAATTTCGTGAACAATGAAGCGAGAGAATTATCTCGAATATTCTGATCATCGTGATATTACCTACTAATTAAAACCAAACTGATTGTCACTGACAACATTGTGAGATTTCGAAAACTCGACAAGTTGTTTTTCTACCAGTTTTTCAATTATTTTGGCAATAGTTGGAATCAACGAGATGAGCCGAAGTTACCTATGTCTCCGCCATCAGCGACGCTTAGTATGCTGAAGCTTAGGGCCCCGACCCTTGCGGGGGTCCCGCAGGGGCCCTATAGCATTGCATCATTATTTTCCCATATAATTTGTTTTTATAAATGAAATAATAACAAAAATAAATCCGAGCAATACTTATTTTATAAAGCGGCAGCGGCAACATTGCAAGTGGATCAAAAATGTTAAAAATTATATACAGGGTCCCGCCGATTTCATAGGGACAGTATCGCTATTTCCTAAACGGAAAAAGATAAAAAATTGATCAAATTAGACAAAAGTCGCGTAGTTTAAACGTCTTCAATACCAATGCCATTTTGCAAAATGAAAGAAGTCAGCCGCTTTGTTTTTCCCAAATATTAGCTGAATAAGAACAAAATCAATGATTTTCAGTTTTTTCGAAATATATCAGGGACGGCTGGAATTTTTCGAACGGCATATTGAAAAAGTTTAAATTACGAAAGTTTTGTCTAATTTTATCAACTGTCTATCTCCTCTACTGTAGGAGACACCTTGCAATACTGTCCCTATGAAATCGACGGGTCCCTGTACAGCAAAGGAAAGGAATGATGAACGGAGGTATTTTTCAATTGAAATTAGTGCTTTGAACTTTTTTTCCACACTACCAGTGACCAGTTTCGAAGCAAAGCACTCATTTTCAAAATTAACAATGATTAATAGTTATTTAACCAAACAGTGTATTGGTGAGGGCGATTGATGATCGAGATATTTTAACGTGCGAGCGAAGCGAGCGCGTTAATGTTCGAGATTATTAATCGCTTTTATACAAGTTGGTTACAAAATTTTTTCGTCGACTATATTTCTCATTCCTCCTGCAATAAAGAAAATTTGGTTCGCGAATTCATTATTCATCCGGAAACTGCGAAGAATCACCCAGTCGTCGAAATGGTCAACATAAATAAATTCCTTGTGTTAGAAAACAGGGATCAAAATCGTGTCAGAAACTTGGGAAGGCGAATCCGTTAACGGAAAATCTTTGATGAAATCCATATTTTCGATTTAAATGCAGATTCCGTAAGTTATAGCAGAGATTATATGCTGGTTATAGCATACACAATGAATGCACGCGGTGTATGTTTGGTTGCCTATAATACAATCGTGCATTAATAGACAGATAGATTAATAATAGGGGTCATTAATGAACGATTTCATAAACATTAAACTTACTCGTTAATACGAGGTCGACGGAAAAATCGAATAAAGAACTGTATTGCTGAAGAAAATATTACCACCTTTGGGAATGCTTCCGATCGAAAGTGATTTGACGAACAGTTTGAAAATTATGATGGTGCAATGAAAAGATTCACAGATTCGAAAATCAGAAATCAGGAATCGTAATATGTTTCTCCTAGTAATTTCGTTGTGGTCTCGAACCTGTATGAATTCGAAAACATTTTATTTTGTAGGTATCTGATCCTAGTCCGTGTTATAGTTACGGTCATTTTATTTTATGTCGTTCTATTCTTTTATTTGTTTTTATTTTGTTTTCTTTTTGTCTCCTATATCCTGTAGATTGTATGTCCTTTATATTTTCATCATCAAATGTTTATTTTTGTTTTCATTTGTATTTGGGAAAATATTATATGGTATTATTGATTAAAAAAACAGAAGCTATTGAGTATTGATTGAAAAATACAGAAGAAGGAATAGGGGTGGGGGTCGCAGGGGCCCCAAGAATTAGTATAAGCTTAGGGGCCCAGAAATCGTAGATCCGCCACTGGTCTCCGCCCTTATGCAAAGGGGTGACAACAGAAGTTTTCAGAAAATCTGGGAAAGTGCCATATGAAATGAAACATTGATATGCGCAACCAATACAAAGAGGGCTCTCAATGGATATACAGTCGCCAATCTATGGATATACTATTCAATGATTCATGAGTGAATTGTTATTTATACTATTTATAGGTATTTAGAGATTCCACCCACTTTCTCGATCAACCTACAATGTTCAAATATAATTTTGTTGGTGCAACGAATCTTTTTTCATGGATTAATGACTTGATATACAAAATCAGTTAACTTGCCAATGCAAACTGTTTTGTTTTTTCAGAATACTGATGTTATTCTGTAAACGAACGTTTCTGATTTCACGCTCACGTTATTCAACGGATTGAAATCGGAGAAATAAGAAACGAAGAAAAAACCAATTACCTCTATATCATTGTTTTTAAACCCTCCGAACCCCTATCGATTTCATCAATTAAACAAGAAAAAACGGACTAATGAGGGTTAAACTCCACATCAACCTTACGCCACCCTTATTCGCTGTCTAAAATTACCCCCTATTATATAATACAGGTGAAACGGAATCGTGCTGCCCTCGGGGTGTGAACATCATGCTAATTGCTAATTAGGTAGGTAGTATAATATATGTGTATAATATAAGCTTGTACTTCATTTTTGCCTCATATGAGACATCCCTTTATAATATAACCTATACCACTGATAGATATACGAATATTATCTGGTATCTGGTCGCCGCTTCTCACGAAGACGTAAAAGGGCCAACAACTTTATTTTTCTGACCATTTCACTTTTTTACTTAAATAGTAGTCATAAGTTCGATATGAATTAGTGTTTCTTTAGTTCAAATAAATCAGTTCGAAAATAAATAGTGTCGTGTTCGCTTCTGCACCCGAATAACATAACAATATTGTTTCAACAACATCGTATACATATTGTTTCCCACAATTATAACCAATATTGCAATTTAAACATTTTTCGCATGTCGATTCTAAAGCGGTTATGCAATATTGTATGTTCGAGTTCGACGGCACATTGGTTGAATATTGTTTCAACGTTATTTGAAACATCATATTTACCTATATCGATTGTTATCGTTTCAACTATATCATGCGGAAGATTTCGAATGCATATTTTTTCAAAGATGTATATATCGGCCGTTCAATATTCTTCTTCATATCAGTCAACAATATTGTATTCAATTGTATATTGGTAACATATAGTTTTGCAGAGAAAAATATGGGGGTAAGTGTGTACTTGACCCCCAGTATTTTGAATATTTGACATTTATTTTCTGTTTTGTTTTCCTCGCACGATGTAACTCTTCGTGCTGAAGTACCTAATGTATCAATTTTGAGATCAAGATATTATTAAATACGCGAGTAATTAAAAAAACAGGTTTTTATTTCCAACTTTGACACCCTGAATATCGAATATGAAGGGCTAAAATGAAAAATGGTATTTAGAAACTCATATTGTTTTTGTTCAAGGAATATATTGTTAATGGATTGACCTCCTTTTAGCGGACACCCTGTATAAATATTGGCTCGAGACGATTGACAAACATATACTTACCTGGCGTAGGGGTTAACCGTGATCAACATTTTTTCTTGTCTCACCAATATTGGTGTGATAATATTCTACCAATATTATCATCATAATATTGCATCAATGTTGTCAAATGATCACTTTTCATTTCTCGTTAATATCGATTCCACATTTTATGACCAAAATAACCTACGAATATTCAGCCAAAATTGATGAGAAAATATTTCCCCAACAACATACTGATTTTCAATATCCCACCCACAATAAATTTTGAAAATAATATTGTACCAATATCACCGAATGTTCACATTCTGTTACTCGTCAATACTTTACCGATATTTTCGTAATAATGCACTGATATTGTCCCAGTATATGAGTGCTTCTTATGCCTGTCAGTATGGCATGAAATAATTATAGCTGATGTAGTTGATGATGTCAGAATGAATCGCTCATTTATAATACATGCTTCCTATGCTTCGTAAACGTGAAATAGTATATTAAAATACTACTCTGTTCTGAATATCACGACATAATTCTGTATTTATAATTCTTCTATCAGGAATATTCAGAACATCATAATATTATTTATGAAAGCATTGGGAATTGCATTGCAATTTGCATTAGGATTCCATTTCCCTTGAATGAAAAAATGCATTAAAAATAGATTGAACATAAAAATATTTTCTTGATATGAAATTACCTTCTTAATCGGTTTCTGAGTAGTGCTTACTACACACAGACATATAATTTTAAATAGGTTTACCAATTTTTGAAATGTTCTCCACAATGCATAATTTTGTAACTGCGGAGAAGCTGTGTATTGATGAATTCGTACTTTTATATATTGATTACACTGAGGCACCGAACAACACATCTTGCATCTGATGGTCATTATTACAAACTAAAGTCTTCTAACACAATAAACTTCACCAAATTCCTGTCTGTTCGTTAGCAGCGTGATGTAAGCGTGACACGCTGCAAAAGTGCAAACGCGAATGCCAATTGCGAACAAGAAGAACAAAATCGAAAACAGATCAGAATTCATCGTATTGTGACGTAAGCATGAGACGTTGTGGTGGGGCAAACAAAGAAAGGGCACAAGAGAACAAAAACAATATTTCAATATCCTTCTAAGACCTCTTTGGGAAGTGCATATTACGCCTCAAAAAAACATACTCTTGCCTACATTTCTAAAACATCCCAAAACATCCCAGGGATACCTCTCAGTAGGCAAACAAAGAAATGCCACAGAAGAACAAAAACAATACTTCAATATCCTTCAAAGACCTCTTTGGTCAGTGCATATTACGTCTCAAAATAACATCTTCATGCCAACATTTCCAAAACATCCCAAAACATCCCAGGGATGTTTGTGCTCGCTGGGTTACTTTTAACTAGCATCGGTGTTATACTTCAGCATTTTCAAATCAAAATATCCCGAAAACGGTACACAGTATCAAGTTTTGCCAAGAGCACATTTTAGGTGTAAAATTGAATGATGTTCAAGTTCACATTGAATTTGGAGTGAAAAATCTAACTTCAAAAAAGTCATGTTCAAAAGTACTCGGTACGAACCGTGTAACTAGCGCCCTCTATGAGTGTCAGATATAAAAACGAATCCATGCGATGTGTCAGCTTTCAAAACACATCCATATTGAATTTCATTACACTGTTGCCAGTAGTTTCAACATAATCGTTAAAAATGTGTAAAAAAAAAATTTTTTCAACACCTTGTATCTTGAGAACGGGTGCCGTTACGACATTTTTTTACTGAGCAAACCCAACTTATTTTGCAATGTTTCACCTACCCTAGCAAGGGAGTTAGGTTTTTTGGAGCACCCTGTATAACGCGTGAGATATTGTTCCTGAACATGAACATTTTGAGAAACAAATTCAAAAATCTCTGTTATATACCTTATACTGAAACTTTATAAACAATAAGTAGCTCTAGTAACATAAGTTTTTTTTTATGAATGTCGATTGAACGAAATGTTTATTGGGGTTATGGTAACCGGTCGTGTTGGTGAAATGCTGACAGGCCACCATTACCCCATTGCTGAATGAAACATTATGGTGAGCAATAGAACATTTTCCGAATGCCAAGAATTCATCGTAGGCTAACAGAAACAGCATCTTGGACTAAGAACAGAACAACAAAAATGCGACAGGCTCAGAATATACTTATATGTTTAGTGTGTGGCGAATACGTGAAAAATGCAGATACTAATTTGGTTGAAGTGTGCTGACACTAAAAAGACAAATTTTACTTGTGATTATTGCATTTGAATTACTTGATAAAATTTCTGGGGCCACTGTGATCATCTACCACCAACAAAGTGTTTTTAAATTTCTTTTGTGAAAAAATTTGTTTTTGTTTTTTTCAAATAGTCAACAACCTTTCATTAACCAGAATATCATGTGTATTTGTTCCCTCGTATTTGTGATCAATTGCCAAAAAATAATCTAGGGGGCCACCATTTCCCCGCTCTCCCCTATTCCTATATCAAAGTTATCAACTTACCGTGACCCTGTAGTGTGATTGCTGAGAGGGACGGCAGATTGTAAGGTCCAACATCGGGCTCGGATTTCACTTTGTGTAAGTCTGGTGACAACAGTTCCTGAAAATAATATGAAATTAATTGAATATTACATCTGAGTGTGACCAATATATGAGGTCGCACAGCATGGGGGATCTCCAAAGCGTTAGGAGATACGAATTCGGTAAAATGTTAAGCATCTATTCAAACAGCTTCCGAAAATCCTCAAAATTATTTATAGTTTTTTGCTCCTGTGTTTTCCAAAATCGGATATTTGCCAAAAACACCCGTTGATAAAACGTTGAATAAAGGTTGGAATCGTGGAAATAACGTTACTGGTTGAAAACTTCAACGTTGAAATTTGGTTGAAGACAACCGAGAAATAAACACGTCATTTAGACGTTTTTTACCAACAATTCATTACTTTGTGTTCATCTACAATCACTATCAGAAGTTGAAACAAAACGTTGATACTTTCAAGCAAGAACACGTCATTCTATTTTGATGAAAGGACATATTCAGAACGTACGGTAGAATAATTGCTAAAAATAACCTTTATATAACGTTAAAAAAATAATAGATTGAAACAACAAATTCTTGTTTATTTCAACGTTTCAAATTCACAAATTTTTTACTTTTCATGCACTTGATACGTCATTCAATCGTGTACTGATAATGTTAATGGAACGTACCAAATTACCCATTCGAAATTATTATTATTATGTGAAAAGGATGATTAATAATTGATATTCGGATTCTTCAAACGATTATCAGACGTTAATTTCAGTATTTCATTCAAATCAGGAAATACTAATTCAATCACTGATGGTTATTCAACGACTTAGAGATGTAATGATCCTACGTTTGATACTGATTAATAGAACGTTTTTCTCAATATTGAAAATTACCAATTATGTACAGGATGGTTGGAATTAGAGCCTCATCATTGGGATTTCGTAAACCATAAGAGATACAGTGTCGGGTTAATCATGACAAAACGCAGATAACCAGAAAATTTTAAATTTTCTAAGAACTCCACTATTTCTTTCACATTCTTCTTCTTCTTCTCCACAAGGTGGCGTTTTCAAATTTGATCTGACGGTTGATCTTCCAGAAACCATCATCAACTATTTTTTTCAAATACGGACTTGGATTTTTTATTTCATTTCTGTTACCTTCGGATAGCCCAAAGCTAGGAGCTATCACAGATTTCCGTTCTGGAATGTTTCGTTCACAAAAATTCATAGTTTCCTATTGAATATTGAAAAAAATACAGAAACTGTCGAGTTTCTAAACGAAACTTACGAAAATTAAAATTTGTGATAGCTCATAACTTATGGACTATCCAACGGTTAGAGTAAATAAATCACTGCATATCACTAAATATTTTAATTCACATGAAACTATTGACATTGACAAAAATAATGTAACTTCCTGAGAAACCGAGAACTTGAAAATGATGAGAATCTTCAAGTCAGATTCCTCATTTTCCCTCCACATTTTCTACAAATTTCCAGAATCATGCGTTACATGCATAAAAATCTACTTTTCATTGATCCGGCATAGTCCTCACGGTGAACTAACATTTATTCAAAACGTTTATTGAACTCTCGAAATAAACGTTACTCAAACGTTTTATTGAGAGTATTTGATAACCGTTGGAAGAAAAAAAAACGTGAAATATATGTTTTCTAACAACGTTAGTTAATCGTCATTAGACAACGTAAATTTATTCCGTTTACTGGTTTCGTCAGGTGATGCTGTACCAGTATATCACCCAGTATATCACCTGACGAAGCTACTGTGCTACCGAAACATGTTGTGTGTTTAGGAATTTTGTGGAAATCTTATCGCTTGTGAAGTTTTAACATTCGGTATCAAAACCGTCAGTTTTGGAAAGTGACAAATGACATGTCAAAATTACAAAAAAATTACAGATAATCTGAGATAGCCCTGACTATTGTAATAGCATGAAGTATGGAACGAGTAACATTGAGACATGCCAGTTTTTCATAAGATAGATAGTCTTCCCATGCCCAAATGTGCTGGGAACCTAATAGTTATTCGTTTTACTAGGCAGAAAAGTACAAGATTTAATGCCACGGCTGGCGTTTCATAGCCTAGGCGTAGCCGAGGCTACGAAACCATCAGCCAAGGCATTACATATTCTTTTCTGCTATGTGAAACATATAATTTTTTCTCGTAATTCTTTTCAATTTCACGCCAAGTCCAAATAATCCATCATTTTTCGTTCACCCAAAGTCATTGTCAATTTTGATAACCAATTTGATTCAAATTACTTGTAATAGCAACAAACTTTTTCTGCCTAGACAGTAAAAGTACGCCTTTTCTGCCTGTTGAGTGTCATTGAAAAGTCACTACTAATGTCATTTGGAGAAGAATAGTAGATTGTTTTATTAGGATCAAAAGTGACACTTTGTCTGACAAGCGAATTTTGCATTTGCGAGGTGGAGCGTATAGCGAAGCCGAGCGAAAGCAAAATTTGCGAGTCGAACAAAGTCACTTTTGATCCGAATGAAATTGCGAAGTGAAACTTTTTTTCAGTTTCCTATGTTACCATGATATCTTGCACCAAACAATGTGCGAAGTGAAACAGTGCGCGAAGTATACCTACTTCGCGCATTGTTATGGAAAAATATGAGCTATTTATATTTCAACTAAATGGTCCTTAATCGAGGAAATCCAAAAAATAATTTATTTCTGAATGTTCAACAATAACTTCGTTTTATCTCTTGGAGCGTACGAAAGGAAATTTCTATTATGTTCGTGGAACATCGTGCCTACCTAGGGAGGATAGGGGAGGCCTTCTAAGCCAGTTCAACACCATTTTTTATATCAAGCTAAGCATATTTTTACTTAAGAACTATATTTTTTGACGTTTGTAGAAAAAATGTTGTTTGCAACTCGAGCGCAAAATACTTTGGTCATCTCGACTATTTTTTTAACTCGGCTACGCCTCGTTAAAAAAATCAGATCTCGATCACCAAAGTAGCATTTCGCGCTCTAGATACAAAAATAACAATTTTTTTTTTCATTTGTTCCGAAAATGTTGATCAGAACTAATTATTAGGTATATGTATAATCACATAATAATTCATCGTTACGCTCACTTTGACATTCGACCTTTACAGATTTTGAAGAACTCTCATATCTAATTTCATCGTCACTTAGTTATAAGTTCAACACAGTATTCAGGTCATTTTTTTCCACTGATATTGAATGTCCCTAATTAATCAGAAAACACGATGGTCAGCAAACGCCGGATTATTTCGTTATGTACAATTATTTATTTTTAGTCAGCAAAAATGTTACGAGTTCTAAATACAATTCACTGATGTCCCAATTTATTGCTCAATATAGTGAATTTCAATTGAAATATAAATTCGGTTATTAATTCATATTTCATTCTTGTATAAAATATATATATAGCACTCCACCCGATCCATAAAATTTCATATATAGGTACATTGTATTTAAGCCAAAATAAGCCACCCTACTTTTTCAGAAGATTTGCTATACCTACCTATATATGAAACTAGAAGTTCTAACAGAAAAAAATATGACAGTGGTTTCCACTAGGGTTTTAATGCAAAAAAATTGTATTTTTCGTCCAAACTAAGAAGCGCGAATTTCAATAATTGTTTTTCGATTCGTCCTCCTCATAAAGTCTAAAAATACTGCTAGTTTGCTAATTGAAACGATGTTGTATCTTTGATAATATCAAAGTAATCGATGGTGGGCAGACTAAATTTAGATAACCCTGTAATTTGTATCGGCGTTCACCATTCTTTTGAAATATTAATAATGAATGATGAACATTATCATTCTGAGAAAAATGTGTGTTAATAATATTGTACCATTGTTTATAAACTTAAAAGGCGATAAATATCTTGCATTGAAAATCGTAACCAAATTGTTCTCTGATAAGACAATGTATAGGTACCTTTTTTTCCAATAATAAATTCTCATATTTGTGACGAGGCTCAATTCCTAGAAAAATAAAATAATATACATACTATTAAAGCAAAAATTATTCAAGAATTATACACAGTATACCTATGCTGTCCTCGGATTATGGTGAAAGGTAAAGGGCAGAAAATTGTGTTTAGACCTGCTTGAGTATAGACAAACTTCTGGAATTATTTTGTTGAAAAATTAAAGATGTTTGAAATTTCATTATTATTATTCATTATTATATATTACATAACAAGATTTATAAAACGCATATTACACAAGTGTGTAATTGCTCTACAACTCGACCAATGTACTATACTTTTTCTAGGACTATACACTATATTTCTTTCAGAATAGTACAGAGACACAAATATCTGTTCCGTCACTTCAAGCTTACTGCATGAAAAGGTACAAATTCCAAGATAGCACAGGACGGACGTCCTGAGGATGTCCATTTCGTGTCCTAACTATAGCCGAACGTGCCAGTATCTATTTTGAACATCCCGAGGACGTACTTCGCCAACGTTTTTGGGACGTACGATGAGAAACGTTTTCAGGACGTACACATTAGGTTCCCATTTATTTTTATATAAGAATTAATTAAATTGCAATAGAAATCGATTATGTCACTTATTACAATCGAGGTTGATTCCTATTTTGTATTTCTAATGATGTGTGTAGAGATATCATGCGTAGCATATCGAATCATAGATAACACCAAACAATGGCACAGCATTCGTAACGTATACCTCCTCCTCAGGGGCTCACAACTTGTGAGTACGGGAATGGTGAACCCGAGGTACCCTAGCCGGATATTCACCATACTTCAACTTGGCTTGGGTGATATCCTCTTCTGTCTTCCTTTTTCAATCTATCTATCGGCCTTTCTTGGCCAACTTCTCTTTTCCTCCTCCCCTCCAAGCCCAACCTCACCATCAAGTGGTGTGGGGAGGACAGACCGCGGCCGCTCGACGGATATGAAGCATTTTGGGACCATCTTTGCTATCTTCTGCCAGATGGGACAATTTGTGGACATCTGTGGCAGGGATGGGGCGATTTGCTGATGTCTGTCTAGGTTGCCGAGGACTGGTCAATGAGGCTCTGGCAACCTAATCCAAGCTGTGGGAACCCGTGGTGATGGATGAATGGCACCGAGGTATGGTGTCGCTAACGGGGCCTCTGGGAAACAGGGCGACATCTCAGAGTAAGTAGCCTTAGCCCTGTGCAGGGAGCACCAGAGGGCTAGACCAACCCCTTCTCTCGTCACTCGTAGGAGAAGAAAAACTTTTGGCCTTCTTCGTAGACGAGAACAGGGATCGGAAGAGTAATCTTCAGGAACCTGAACGAAAAGGGTCTTTCATATTGAAGTGGCCCTTAATGAGCACCATGAGTCGTATATGGTAAAATTGATAACGGCATAACGGCATGTAGGTAAGATACAATGGACCACTAGGCCTAATTGTCGTCGGAGACTTCGGTCAGACGAGCCTACAAACGGGGTGAAGTGTTAAGTGGGTATACCCTGGAGTCAGGGGACTCCCACACTATCATATGGGGGATTGGACCCATATGGTGTCCATAAAGGATTTCAACCACCTCGATGAAGAGAAAAAACGTATACCTCTCTCGGCAGTTCATGTACTTTCCCGGCGGCGATTTTACTAAATATAAACTATTGCAGCACAAGACACGCCCCCTACTACGGCATTGCAAAATATAATCGAGCCCAGCACAATCCTGCAAAATCTAATCTTTGACAGCACAACGTAGCTGATTCATATAAATAAATCGATTGAAAAAGTAGCACATACCACGTTATATCTCATCTTCAAAGTATGTACTTTACTTAGGCAAAACTCAGAGACTATTTACCCTCAACGAACTAACCTATCCCTGATTGCAATATTTTTGAGGAAGGAAAACCGAATGGAGTGTAGAAACACATTGATTAATAATATATTTCAAAAGTTGAGTTCTTCAACAAAATTGAATAAAATGAGACTGTTTATCCTAAATGCACTAACCTATTTGACTTCAAATATTTTATGAAAAAGGAAAACCAGAATGAAGTAAAAAAACATTGGTGAAAAAAAAAAGTTGCGAAAAAAAGTTCGAGTTCACAGCGATTCGAACCATGAACCTTCAGACTGAGAGTCGACAGCGCTAACCAGTAGACCATTTGGGTGTATGAATTTACTGCGTACAAGCATAGATTAATCTATGGTACAAGAAATTGACAACGAGAAAGCTTCAGTTCTTGCGTTGGAGCACAGTATGAGATATGACGTATTATGGTGGGCGTGGTTTGTGCTAGCGTGCAGTATATTTAGGAAAATCGCTTCCCGGCGTCGACGTGTCCAGGCGGCCGTCAGCCAGTCCTGATACACATTGCCGGCGATTAAATTATTGATTTAGAAGTGCTACAGTGGTAACAAATTTCGATGCACCATTGATGGGAGCGCTCAGCCACCAACGTATATGCGCTTGCAAAAAGGTTGAGTTTTTCGGGCACTTTCCAAGTATCTGAGTGCGAACTACAAACTTTAAAAGCGGAAGTGCGTTTTTACCGTCATTTATGAAGTACTGCTAAATCACTCGTTTCAAGTGTCTTATATTTCAATAGTCGACCGTCACATCTCAAATAGATCGTTGTTATCTGGGAAGCAATATATTTTCTAATCGCTTACACAGTCTTCTACTGGGATTAATTCATGCACTCAGTGTGTGTGTGTATATTTCCTTACTAATTACATTGTGTGATAAAGTATGTGATACATATACGAGCACAAAATTGCGGAAAGAGGTCGCACCAGTGCGACGAGTGGAAAACATCCTTGTACATAAGTCCGTAACAAACACAATGGCCAATGGGTAGCGTATCTTTTTTTATGTTATGGTTTCCACGAAATAGGATATCCTGTACTGTTCAGAGATTATCGTGAGAACTAATGGAAATGAGGTAGGAATTGGTGTTCTCCTCAAATTTCTGGAGGTTATATGCCTCGGGGAACACCTCCCTTGGCTATGCCTAAATAGGTTTTCGTTTTTTTATTATTTTCCTCCATATCTTGCGAATCTCACTACTGATAATGTCTGAACTAACCATAACGTCTTGGATACATTCTGCGAGTTTACCTTTAAAGGGCTCTGCCCTTGGAGATCGGAATCCGTGACGTTCAAACCGCATTGACATACAACGTTTCCTGGGACTCGATTCCCGAATTTATTCCTATATTGGAACTCAAACTGCGGTCTCACTCTGATGCACTCTAGTGATGTATTTCTGTCTGTTTTATTCCTATAGGGATTGCATTCTAATGATTCAAGAATTAAGCTCCTGACTAGGATAATTCTCCCTCTTCTTCGAGTTGGGAAAATTTCCAATATATTCGTGTTTTCAATAAAATTTCCGGTAATATTTGAAACTCTCGTGCTATTATATTATATCAATTATAGGAAATCTCTAGCTGTAGCTTTAGATATATCGAAAGCATTCGACCGTGTTTTACACCAAGGACTCCTTCACAAACTACCATCATACGGCTTACCACCTCAGCTATGCTATCTCTTATCGAGTTTTCTTTCAGTCAGATCACTCCACGTGGTGGTGGACGGTGTATCGTCTGATACCATTGTCATCAATTCCGGCGTTCCACAAGGATCAATTTTGGCACCAACATTGTTCTTACTTCATATCAATGATCTATTGGGAGCAACCACTTGCCCTATCCACAGTTTTGCAGATGATATTACTCTCCACACTGCGTTCACTACCAGAAATACCATTTCTGTCCAGGAAACTAAGAACTCAGGAACTCAGGCCATTGCTGTTAATGAAGATCGTGCTAAAATCACAGCCTGGGGAACCAACAACCTAGTAGAATTCAACGCCGCGAAAACTCAAGCCTGTATTTTCCCTAGAAATAACAATGTCTGATACCAACATTCCCACCAAGTCAACTATATCAATGCTCGGTGTTGTCTCCATCAGCAATATTCTACCATGTGATAATCATGTCAGATCCATCGCGAAGGCTGCTTCACAAAAACTCGGATTTTTATTCCGTGCGAAAAGCTACTTCACACCTCAACAGCTGCTCATGATTTACAAAGCACAGATACGACCTGTTCTAGAAAACTCTTCTCGAAAATGGGGTTCACCACCCAAACATTCTCTGATACTCTTAGATTCCATCCAGAGAAGAGCCATTCGCCTGGTGGGTAATACCACACTCACTAACACTCTGATATCATTGGAACATCGTAGGAAGATCCGCGATCATTCATTTTTTTATAGATACTTCCATGGAAACTGTTCTTCAGAAATCTCTGCTATCATTCCTCGACTAGTAATACCGGCCAGACGAACTCGACAAGCGCAGTCAGCACATCCTCTCGTTGTCAACCTCGAAATATGTCGAACAGCATATCAAATCTCGTTTCTCTATACTTTCAGGAAAGCTCTGGAATACATTGCCTAAGGAAGTATTTCCAAGAATTGAAAAGGAACATTCTCAGATATATTTATGAACACAAAAAAATGGATATATATATAAAGAAATACATTGAGGATTCGCATTCTCCATGTGATGAAAATATCAATTCTTTCTCGGTTTATTCAACAGAAAAACAACTACTTTCCTGGCTATATGCCACGACGAATATTGAATTACATCTATTGAACATGCACACACGATAAGAATTTGAAAACAAAATCTTCTGAAGTAGAGAATTTGCATTCTCCTTCATATAAAGATATGCATATAATATAATTCTGAATATTCAACATCAGAAAACAACTACTTTCCTGGCTATTTGCCACGTCGAACATTGAATTATATCTGTTGAATATCCAAAAAAAGAAAGCATTAAAAATCAAAATCCTCTGAAATTGAGAATCAACATCATCTCTCAAATCGAATAGAATAATATTATGTATGATGAATGTCAATTTATACATACATTTAAAAATATTTCTAAGAACTTATACACTCCAAAAGTTCCAAAAACTTTTAACACCCACCTTCTCTTCCTATCCCCTCTAGGTACGTACGATATTCTTCAAACATTATAGGGGTTCCTTTTCGTGCGCACCAAGCGATAAAAATAATAATGTGAATATCAACTCGGCAACACAATCTGAAGAGTCAAAAACTGTTTCTATCGACCCCATTTTACGGTACTATTTAAAAAAAATCAGTTTTTGAATTTTTTCAAAACGAGAAGTTTGCTCCAATTTCTGAGCACCCTATAGGATGATTTTCAAATGTTTTCAAAGTGATATTAGGTCTGAAGAGCTTGGAATGCTCGAATTTTGTAAGGTTTTGCATTTGTCGAGAATTTCGAAAAATTTTGAGCAACTCAAAAATGGTGTGCTCTATACATATGATGCTCTGAATGAAGCTAAATTGGGATTCAGCTTAGATTCCAAAAATTTAATAAAAAATAGTACTCTCCTATCAAAATAACCATTTCCGGTATTACCGGAAGTTGCAGAGAACTGAAATCATCCGAGTTGAAACGAGCACTTGGGAAACCCCCGCGTACAAAAATTTCCAGACAACTATAGCTCGTCGTGGAAGACCCTGTACACATGCACGATGTGTCATGAAAATAAAGAGGATTCACATTCGTGCGATACAAAATAAAAAATAAAATGATAAATCAGTACCGTCACCATACCATTCAATCCATATCATTCATATCATATTCAGTTACATAATTTACTACCTACTCGAAAATGTTAATCGTCTATAACAAACGACACATTTTCGGTTGTAGTAAACAAAACCACGTACTAAAATTTATCCGAGCATTTTCCCAGATCATAAATTTATTTCGAGATTAACACGCCAGTGACTAATAGCTCGAAGTTTCCAGCTAAAATTGCAAAATTATGCGTTCTACTTGTGGGCACTTACTTACTTACTTACTTA